GCTTTTTGTTTGATTGAATAATAAAAACACAAATTTACCTCCATAGTTTAAGCTTTAATCTATTTAAAATACATTTTTCAGCAACTCGGGTTTTGGCATATTGTGTTTTTATGTGTATTTTATTCTGGTTTGCTTTCATCTCGCAGCAAATTACAATGTTCGCAATGATAAAAAGTTCCTTGCCTCAAGTCTGCACGTGACAATGGGCGTTTCCCCAAATCTTTTATTTAACTCTCATTCAGCAGCAACAGCGGGCAGAGTATTGTTCACCAATATAAAGACAGCTTAAGAATAAAGTGGATCGACCTGCTTGTAATTAGCAACATCAAAGAGCTCACATACAAACCACACATTGTAGTTATTTTTAAATCATTTGTTATTATTTTGATTTGAAGTGTCCTCTGCGTCTGCTCCGTCWGTAAGTTAGTTGTGGTTTGCTTCGGTTTAAATGAAATTGTGTTTGAAGCCGCATGAAAGGACCTTCTGGTAGATTGAAAGAGACTTGTTGGGCTTTATTTTTATRTCCAGCTTTTTGAGAATGTCTGAAACATAAAAGAGCCTCACTGCAAGTGTCTCAGTGCATCCGAGGGGTTCTTTCCTCCACAAGAGATCCTACAAACCAGCTGAAGGGCTGGTTTACAGTCGGCGCTGCTGAGAACAAGCTCTCACCGGTGCTGCTGCAGTTATATAAGACCCACTTTGTGCAAAAGAGCGGCTGTGTCAGAGAAAAGGGGTCCTGAGGTAGAGAGAGGGGGAGAGTGTGGAGCGGAGTGGGATGCCAGGGTGTTGTGTAAGCTTTGAGTAGAGCCATGAATCTTCGGGATTGCATCATCGCGGCCAAGACGAGTTTATTTATACAGAGCTTTTTGTTTTTTCTAATGTAGGAGGACCTTTGAAAAACAGGTTCACCACACAGAAACCACACGTCTTGTAGAAAACCAAAGTAGCCCAAAGCAGATGTAAATAAGAAGAACCGTTATGCAGGCCAGAGGTTGTGTGGGTGTGAAGGCTGTCAGCATCCATTAGGAAGGCAAATTATGGAGCAGAAGCCTGTTTTTCTCCACTGTTTTGTGACATTTATTGAGGTAATCATCGACCACGGACTTGATGATGTCATTAATAGATGCAAAAAAACTCTTTATGGTTGATCCAATCTTCTTTGAACTTGAACAATGTGTTGCTGGGAACTGGATGAAGTGCAACATTTGAATTTTTTATTAATTTTTTTCCTGTGCTTTCACTTTTATCAGTTTGAGATGTTTGGAGAACATTTAAGTTTTAGAAGCAAAATCAAATTCTTTGTAGTAAGGAACTACCCAGATAGCAAAATATGAGTGAATCAACAGAAATATGGTCAGGCTTGATACAGAATGATACAGAATCCATGTTGAAATTTTACAAAAAGTGGTCGGTGACTTACTTGTTGAAACATTAGGTTTTCAACCATAACTGATGCTATATCAATGCTGATTCAACATTGATTAGATGTTGGCATTTCAATCATTAGAATTGGACCATGAAACAGCATTGATTCAATATCATCTTTTCAAAGTTGGTTATTTGGTTAGAATTGGATGATTGTTTGATGGTTGATTCACCATCAATCGTCGACCTTAACRAAAAATCAACTATTTTTGAGCTATCTGGGCAGGGCTGCACAATATATAGAAAACTTATCCTTATCATGATAACAGCCCGTGCAATATGTATATCCCAAAAAAGCATAAACTGCAATAAATGGTTGGCTCAAAAGTTTGCATTTATGAGTTTTGTRACTTYGACGAAAGCTTGAAGTTTTTCACCAATCAAATGGAGCCCTTCMTGTATTTGACCAATCGGATGGATCTGGTCATATTTTTAAAAAATCCATGCTGGATAGAAATTATTATTTTATTCTTGTTATTGTTTTTGTTGCTCTGAACCCAGAACAGAAAGACATCAACACTACATACTTGTGCATTTTTTCATTAATCGCAAGTCATATCGTCATCGCAAAAAAAACACAAGAAGTCACCATGAATGTTAAGTGTGTGCTCGTCACGCTGTTCTTTTTTCACCTCTAACCAACAGGAAACCATTCCTTTGTTAAACAGATTCTTCACAGAAATACCATCCTTTGTTTTGTTCTTTAAATCATGGCTAATCATGCAACTTTGTCACCTTTTGTTTATGCTTTAGGGTTTTTTCCGCAAACGTAAAACTAGCAACCTCGAGGCCTACGTCAACTGGTTCAACCGGCTGAGCTTCTTGGTGGCTACTGAGATTTGTATGGTATGTTGCATTTAAATTACAACTCCTATTGTTCAAAAAACTGCATGAATCAACAGCTAAATGTCCAAAACAAGCGTACAATGCTTAGCAAAACGATCACAAAATACTCTAATACATTGCTTTTACATTTTCTTACATCAGCCGGCGAAGAAGAAACACAGAGCGCGAATTATCGAGTTCTTCATCGACGTGGCTCAGGAGTGTTTCAACATCGGCAACTTTAACTCTCTCATGGCCATCATCAGTGAGTATTTGACAGAATACACATAAAAAAATCCCTTTGAGTGTAAAGAAAGAGGAAAACTCCCCTACACAGCAAGGAAATGCTAGCTTATTGATGTTTATAGCATTGTTTTAAATGCAGTGTTAATATAAAAACCCTCTTTGTTGTTGCTTGCTGCAAACCAGGACACATAAGTTGTAGCTCTCAGTCTCTGCAGCAGAGCCACTAAACTGACTAAAGCCAACAAATGCAGTGGCAGCTGGAGTTTAGGCTAACGCTAATCAGTTTAAGGGAAGTATAAACTCAGTTAGTGGAGGCCCGGAGCACTAAAGCCTGCTTTTCGTCTTCAGTCTGTCTGTGGAAATGTTTTCTTTACTCGTGTCTCCTCTGTCTCTCAGCTGGGATGAACATGAGTCCCGTCGCCAGACTGAAGAAAACCTGGAACAAAGTCAACACTGACAAGTTTGAAATATTGGAGGTAAGGATCATTTAGTTTTCTGCTCAAATGTAGGACTTCCAATCCTTAGTGTGTGTTTTAAAAATTTCTCTCTCTTTTTTTTTTTTTCATCCAGCACCAGATGGACCCTTCCAGTAACTTCAGTAATTACCGCACTGCGCTCCGCGGCGCCACCCAGAGGTCTGAGACGGCACACAGTAGCCAGGAGAAGGCAAGGAAACCTGCACGATTCACCAAACACATCAAAACTCAGCTCCTCCAAGTTCAAAAAGTAAATAAGCTGTTGTCTCTTCCCCACAGATTGTCATTCCTTTCTTCAGTCTCCTCATTAAAGACATCTACTTCCTGAATGAAGGCTGTGCCAACAGGCTGCCTAATGGACATATTAACTTTGAGGTTGGTTCAACTTTTACTTTGGCTTGAAAGCACACTTTCACATGTGATGTAACTACTCCCCCTTGTGGTTAAAAAAAGATAAAACAGCACTTTTCCTGTCAAAGAGGATATGAGATGCTGTTAGCGCTGTAGAAACTTATTTGCAGTGTTATATAAAGTACCACAAAGTGATAAAGTTAAAGTTAAGTTAAAGTCTCCTTTAGGAATATTACCTGAGTAAAAGTATTAAAGTATCTGATATTTTTTGTACTTAAGTATTAAAAGTAAAAGTACTGATTTAAAATCAGCAGTTTTTACGTAATGACATTTATTTGGAGGTGACCTCAAAAAAATGCAAAAATGACTGTCGTATTAAAATAATGAATTTATGTTAAATTTAGGATGCATTAGTCCAGCTGTTTCAGTTTATATACATATATCAAGGCTGCACAAACATTTTCCCCAAAATGATAATCTATCTTGAGGGCTGCAGCCAAGTGCAATAATATAATTCATGAAATACAAATACTTCTTAAGTACAGTCCTTTTATTTTAACGATTATGCCCTGCTGGAGTGTGACATGATTTGTTTTTGTACAAACTAATACGGTATCAGAATTTTATATATTTATACTTCTCATTCAACCACAATTAAATTCACTCTATCTAGGAGGCACAGTTTATTTGTGTAGTGTTTATTTTTTACAATAACAAGCTGGAATGAAAACAAACAAAAAAATGAAATAAAAGTAACGACCTTCTACTTCTTGCCTTTTTTAAAATGTAAGGAGTAGAAAGTACAGATAATCATGTGAAAATGTAAGAAGTAGAAATAAAAAGTAGGCTGAAAAATAATTACTCAAGTAAAGTACAGATACCCAAAAATTCTACTTAAGTACAGTAAAGAAGTATTTGTACTTAGTTACTTTACAACTCTGCTTATTTGTTACATTACATTATTACCTGCAGTCAATAAAGCTAAACAATAACGTCTTTGCCTTCATCTGTGCACATTTTGCTTTTTTAAAATTATCTCATGAATATAACACTGACTAGAGCCTTTGCATTAACTGTTAGCATTAGCCCTGTTTGTTTGTTAGCAAGATTTAAAGTATAAGGTTTGACCAGAACAAGAGTCTGGTTATTTTTCAGAACAATCTGATCTTATTTTAAACATCTTGTATGGAAGGCAGTGGGTGTTATTTTATTCTTTTATTTCGCCCCCCTAACAGAAACTGTGGGAGCTAGCAAAACAGGTGAGCGAGTTCCTGGTTTGGCGTCAGGTCATTTGCCCGTTCGACAGAGACCGCCGCATCCTTCAGTATCTTGTCACCACACCTGTTTTCACTGAAGACGGTCAGTTCCTGTTTATAGATTTGCACAGAAATAATGCAGCTGTCAGTTTTTAACACAGACTCACTCTGTCTTACCGCAGAGCTGCACCTGGCTTCATATGAGAGCGAAGGACCTGAGAACAACATGGAGAAAGACAGTCGGAGGTCTCTCAGGTAGGCGTAGACGTGTGTTAGTAATTAATTAATTAACAAAATCATTCTCTCAGTACAGTTCTAATGATCACCTTTGTTTATGTTTTTCAGATCATCCCTTCTCCACCGAGAGAACCGATCTTAAACGAAAGACTATTGGTGTTTTATTCATTCCTGTCTCTGTGGTCAAAGTTTACATCCTGGACCTAAAACCTGTCCTGTGGAACAATGGACACATCTGGGACATCCTCACAAATAAGCCTTTTATCAAGTCTTTGAACTTTCAAGGAGCACGGATGATTCCTATGTCAGGAAGATCTTCATGTTTATTGAGTGTGTGAGACATCACGACCCTCCAGCTTCAGCTGAAATCAGTTTAACCCACTGATACGAGAAGAACCGGGATTCTTATTTTTAATAAGCTATGCTCTGTCTGAAGGAGCTTACAGGACATCAAAGGACGAGTGGATTTATATACAGAACACAAATGCTGGAGAACTTTGAACCAGTAGTTGTCAGAATGAACCATCACTGCTCACATGATAGATCTGAAAACCACAGAACCTTAAAATCAAATCTGAAAAGATGAATTGATTTGCTGTGTAAGCTATAAAGTGTTGCCGTTTTACCTTTTTTTTTTGAAACACAAAAAGTACAGCAGTAACCACACATCCACAGTTTGTACACAGCATTTTATCTGCATTTGAACATCTCGTGGTGTCTGCACTTTGACTATTTGTGGTTTCAAAATTGTGCAAGTGGAAACAATATCATGCATATTCAACCAAAAAAATGCACTTTTGTGTGTTTTTTTTATGTGGATTATAGGATTCTGTGACTCTAACTGTACCAGTCTTTCTGTGTTTATGGCATTAAGCTGCATTTTATATCAAAAGCCTATAATGTGCTTTATTTTTATTCGTTTATGAGTTTCACAATGAGCTTGTTGCTGGTTGGCTGGCTCTGTGGTGGAAGCTTTTATACCAGTTCATGTATTACTAAACAAACAAAAAAGAAGTATTTGTGGAAAGAATGAAGCACAAACTGATGTAATTATATGTGTATACTCTTATTTTTTTAAGCTTGCGATCATGTGGGAGTAATATTTTAATATCCTGCTACGAGTGATGGTGATGCTTTGTTTTTATGTTTTAAAGGCATTCCTTTAACGTGTCTTTTTATTGTGTATTTTTTGTGCATCTTTTGTGCTAGAAGAGGGGTACATTTAATAAAAATGAATAGAATGACATTATGTTTTATTGTTGGCTTTTAAAAGAGGCAGCTGTAACCACACCAAATTTGTTAAGACGTTTATTTAC